AGCAGATAAAAAACTATGTAACATGAGAATCTTGTTTTCTCAGTCAGCTGTCTCCAAAAACAGTGAACAAAAAATAACTTGTGCATATCACCATACATATTCCAAAAACACTCCGATGTTTTCCTCTATCTCATAAAATAATATGAATTTGCTCGTTAGTCAGGTTATTTGCCCCAATGTATATATTATAATTTACTTCTAGATTTGAACTCCTATTTATAGAGAATTTTATTAAATAATTTTAATTTTGCGAATGCTGAGGAAATACTGACATTTCTTCTTTTTCTCATTAGTCTATCTACCGTATAAAAAGAATCTGTTTATTTTTGCTTCACTGTAAAGGTCACCTTATGTCTTCAATTCAAAGAAATACCAACAGAAAAAAAAATCCAATCTATAAACTTCGATGACAGTCTAACATACTTTAGAACCCTTAAAAATGTCTAAAAAAGTATTACGATTGGGGTAATTAAATGTGACAAAACACACGACGGCTGTTTACGGCTTACTAAATAGCTCGTACTCACATTTCACATGAGGATATCCATAAAAACAACCATGCAATCATTCCATCTGCATGCTTGTTTTTGTGCCTGCATTAAAATGGGGTTCCAGTTATAGCCGACTGATTACTTTTTATTCTTGACAAAACAGTCTTAACGTAAACATACACAACTAAATCATCGCAATGCATTATTTCGTTCTTGGACTGCACACGTACTTTTCACACATTTAGAATACATTTGGAGTAAGAAGAAGAAGAGAAGGACATCATTTTTGCAACAGAAAAGAAATGGGCAGAATACTATGTGGATGTTATTGAAGTTACAAGTCAATTTTTCTTTGTTTTTTAAAATTTAATTTTAAGGTTTTAATTTGTAAATTTAACATCGCAGCTCCCTAAAAAACTTTTTTACCTATGTAAATACATGCGTTGTGAGCCTTATGTGAGAGTTAATATTCGAGTAAAAAATAAGTTTATTATAATATAGCTTCTTCTGTTTTTGATTTGTTTTTTGAATATGAATATAAAATTTTAAAATATCAACATATTGAAAGCGATTTTAAACAAAATTTCAAAAAATACATATTTGTATACGCTTGTAATCTATATATTACTACAAATTTTCAGAAGCTTGATCACTTAGTCTTAATTTTGGATACAGATGATCATGAGCGCAAGAATTGCATGTTTGTGCTATTCTTTTTTTTTACGATTTAAAAAATCTACTCTAACTCACCAGTGGCGGAATAGATAAGACCACTAATTAGTTGCCGTTCAACTTGGATTCAAATCCTGCACAGGTGATGTATCCTGTATATGTAACAAGAATGCAGTTTCCCTTAATTCTCGAAGAAGTAAGCATTCCACCCGTTATGCAGATAGCTGGTGTATGATTTGCTTAAAATCTCCTGAACAATAAAACTGTTTTTAGGCACTTGTGCTGCTAATAGACAGCACATGCTTCCAAATTGGTGTTCAAAAGCTTAGATAGAATAGCTTTGTAAATCAGTAAATGTGTTACTTTGATGATCAACGCAGTTTTATATCTAGGAAAAGTCTTACGCATCATCGATTAGTAAGACCGTCTGTTCACAAGGGACAGTATTCTGTCATTAATCAAAACCCGTAGCGTCTCTCGATGTTAAAAATATACGGGCAAACTTTCTTGTTATGACTGGGAGCATGCAAAACGTAACTAAATTTTAGTTCAAAAATGTTTTTTTTTTTTTTTTCAAATATGTGTTTTTAAAATCATTTGATCTCTAAAATGGAAATCTCGAAAAGATAAGAATTTCAGTACGGAGACGTTATAAATGAAGACGGTAAGTTTAAATTCATAACACATAGTGACTTTATAGAGACATTAGGTTTTTTGGTGCAGGAGATATGAAAAATGAGCAATGCCCTCTCTGAGACTCGAACCTGTACCTCTCGAATACGCGCCGAGTGTGCTACCATTACACCACGAAGGCATGCTGGAAGTAGGAAGAAAATATCTTACAGCTTTAACTTACTTTTGCTTCTTTTAACTTTTTTAACTCTTTATAGTTTAAAATAAATCATGTTAATTGTTTTACTAAACAAAAGGAAGTGATTACATTTTATTCTTAAAAATAATTTTAAATCTATTATAAAGTTATCTGCTTATCAAATAGATGTATTAATCATGATCAAAGCATGCATTCAGCCGGGAAAAGTAAGTCTCATTATATTGCAAAACTTTTAATTTTTGCCTCCCGCCAAATTATATACATAAGTAAGTGAGGTAATGTTTCCGATCATAAAATTCGAAAATGAGTTTTCAGTGAATAAGTACGAAAAAGAAGCTTCCCTATACCACATCTTTACCCTTTTGCCGATGATGTCTGTCTGTGTGCATATGTGTGACAATTTTTTGCCCACTATAACTATTATCTAAACATTCAGAAATTTATATTTTCCGTATTTAAGCTTCCTGCAATCATATAAAGAGTTGATTAGATTTCGGATAAAATCGGACAACCGGAAGTGACCTTTACGTGAACCCATAACAAATTTTAACGGACATCTGGAAATGATGGTTTACTTAAAGACCATAGCAATTTTTAGTGAAACTGTTAAAATATAATCCCAAACTTTTCATTTTTCGTATTTAAGACTTTTATGTTATTGAAAACATAGATTTGGGCTAAACTAGATAAACTGGAAATGATTCTTTACTTGAAGCTGTGAACAGTTTTTTGTGAAAAAGTATATTATAACAAAATTCAAGATTTTGACTATGCATGACAAATCGAAAGTGATACTTTAATTGGAACTCTATATAGATTTTCATAGAACAATTTCGAATCACTATAATAAAGGTTTGGCAGACAGGTTTATCAAATTATGCCGCCCGGTGAGTGGTTCATGTACTTTTTATGCTATTTTGCTTTTTTATTAAATTATTTTTATTAATTTTTAAATTACATTATTTTTAATGAAATCGTATAACTAATAAAAAAATTTAATTAAAAAAGGGCTATTAGACTGAAAACGGCATTTTGCGTTTGTTCACTTTTTAAATAGTTGCTACCAAATATTATCGCCATGTGTTTTATTTAAAGAATCTAAATAATGAAGAATCTGCATGAATGTTTCTTGCATTGTGAAAAAAACAACGGCAGCTAGAGACGTGAAATTTTTAATAACGTAGTCCTCCAACCGAACATGGGGACTTGGAAGCCCGAATTTTGAATTTCGAATTTGTTTTGTTATCTATTTCAAACTTTGTAAAACTTAAACGAATTTTTGATTAACAAACTCAACAATTTCAAAGCGAACAATGGCAACACTCTACAGGAAAAAAAAAAAAAAAAAAAAACATTTTTATCTCCAACGCGCGAGACTGTGTATCGGAAATTCTAAAGATAAATTGTTTTGCTGATAAAAAATAATACGCCCTCTCTTAAATAAACGCCCTCTTGGGCGTAATATAAAATCTGAAAGCTTTCGATTTTCTTTTTTTTATTTTTATTTTACCAGTTATTTTCATACTACGAATAAATTTATAATATAACGTTTTAAGGTTCTTTAATTGAAAACCCATCAACTTATATGTTATTCAACCGCTCAATAAAATACAATTTTTAATAAAAATAAATAAATAAAAGAGAAAAGTTTGATTTTATTGTTATAAATTTAGAAACCAGATTTTACACAAGGGTTATATCTAATAAAACGTTATCCAAAATTTTACATCGCAGACCTGTCTCTTTATCGATACAGGGCCCACCAGCGGCCGAGCGGTAAAGTCGCTGAACACTGGTAGTTCGGTCCGAGGTTCGAATCCCGCGAACGGGCTGGCTGCATGGGCGTTTTCGTGGTTTTCCCCATGTGTAACGTGTATACGAGCCAGTTTCCCTTAGAAAGTCCTCCACGAAGGCATCCCTCCCGTTCGGCAGATAGCCCTCGAGGCTTTGCCATAATCACACACACACACACACAGACACTTTATCGATACAGTAAATTAGAATTTGTTTGCCAAACATTGAAACGGATGTATTACTTAGTTGCCGCTTTATTTAAACCTCGTTGCTATTTAAAATATGGAATTAGCGAAACGTTATATGCTGGCCACATCAGATTTTTTCACTTATTGATAATAGCAAATTTTTAGAACTTCAGTATAAAACGCTCAATAAACTTAATTTTATTGAATATTATTTTAAAAATATAAATTGTCATAAATTTAGATTTGCTTAGTTGTTCAGTTTATGAGTCGGTAAAGAATATTAAAAATTCAATGTGTTGGCTTGGAACTTTAATTAGAACTAGATACGGTATCATTAAAAATTTAATTATACATTTTTATGAAGCTTAATTATCATTTAATCTCACTTGGCAGGTTAGTAATAGTAATCACGGAATGTTCACCATAATTTACTGAATTCCAAGTACTGTTATATGTACCGTATGTGTATATTTAAAAAACAAAGAATCTTTTTTTTCACTTTCTATTGCAATTTTTTCTTTATTGTCAGCTAGTAGCTTTAAGAATGCTGGCACTATCCTTTTTATATCTGGTTTTCTACTCTTTTCGGTGAACTGATATTTTATTTCTTAGGATTTTAAAAAATTTTTATTTTTACGTGTTTTTCTTTTCTTCCTTCTTTTTGTTTAGAAGGGAGGTGATCTATGATCTTTTAGTCATCTGTTGCATTATATTCTTGCTTTCAATTTCTTAACTTTTTCACTTGGATATTATATATTAACTCTTGCGCAAGAGTAGAAAGAGTAGAAACCTGTAAGTTCCCTTCAAATGCAAGAAATATTTCTATAAAACATAACTTGCTTAAGGCTGAATTTCGTTTAATTTTAAAATTTCCGGGTTTCTATTTCACTTTCTATTGTAACTGATTTATCATTCAAAAATTAAGAACTATTAATCAGTCTATAATATGAAATTTTGGATTGAGTGATTATGTTTATGAAATGAAAATAATGGCAACTATATTTGCCTCTTTTTCTTTTTCAGATGTAAACGAATGTGAGAAAAACCCGGATTTGTGTACACATGGAAGATGCGTCAACACAGAAGGTAGCTTCAATTGCCTTTGTGACTACGGATACGTACCATCGCAGAGCCAGCAAGCATGTTTAGGTAAGTGATCCATGGTATCAAATACGTACTGCTGCGTTTATACGGAAGAATAATGTAAATAGGTTTTGTTATAGAAGCAGTTGTAGAGACATTAGGATTTTTTTTGGAAGCAGAAGAGATGAAAAATTAGCAACGTTTTCGCCGGGAATCGAACCACGGACCTCTGGAATACCGGCCCAGCGTGCAGAACAACTACACTACGAAGGACGCTTGGAAAGCGGGAGAAATACCTTATACAGTGGTTATTTTGGTACATGTTCTACGATTTCTTCGAATTTATGTATCGGCGAAATGCAGCGTAAAAGCGTGTAAATGGTATAACACACTTTCTTTTCGCATACAGTTTGAAATAATTACCAGAATATCATTGTAAAGTTATCAGTAAAATTAGCTTTTATAAACTAAAGTAATAAAATGTGCTCAACATAAACATAATGTTAACAGTAAAACTAAATTTTGTAAACTAAAGTGATAAACATGGACAAACAACAACTCCCGACCAACGGAAGGGAGAACGATAAACAAAACCAAATTAAAAAAGCATTTGAGATCACTATTATCATCTTGATTAGGTTGTAAGCCACAAATATCCCTTGCAATCTCATAAAATTTCGAAAACCAAACAAAAAATATATTAATAGCTACTTTTCTGTAAGATACCTTATAATAATAATTGTTTATAACTGTGTGGTTAATCTTACCAGCGCTTGACTTTAGAATCCATATTACTTGTAATTTCCCAGCTAATGGAACAAATTATAAGTTATAACAGAACGTCCGAAAGCAAACACTTAGCATCGCAGTATACATGGTATCACGGCAAGTGTTTCGGCACGGGAGGGCCGGTCGTTTTCCCTGCCACTCCGTCTTTCTCAGCGCAGCAACAGTTGTCCATTAAAGTCATGGTTTTTGATTTAATCTTTATTATTCTTTTTGTATTCTTTCTAATTTTGTATTTGAATTTTTCATGCATTTTTATTTGTATTTGTTCCTTAGTGAAGGCATGGATTTTTCTTTTTAAGTAATGACATTTTATTCATTATTTTAAATTCATAAACATTTTTGAATTCTTTCAAACAATCCGTGTAAATGTCGTTTAAGAGAGAACTTTATCCTTGATTTAAATAATTCTTCCACGTTTTAGCTCCTTTAGGAATCCTCAGCTCTAAATTTAACTAAGTAAATTTATTTTCACTGAAGAATACGTTCTACTTTGCACAGTACTCACAACTAAATCAATCAGGTTTATGCTTATACACCGTCATTAGTGCCCTAAAGTGGATTGCATCGAGATACTTATGAGGAGGAGAGGGATGTCATCATCCGTTTTTATGTTGTGAAAGACGGCGTACGTGAGAAAATAGAAGGCGGTCTCTAGCGCCTAACGAATTAACATGCGTTCCCCGCTTAAAAGGGTTTATCCAGACATGTTCTATTCACCCCATAAAGTTTAGTCTGCTTCTGAAAAACACCTTGTATAATCTGCAAATGCAAAATACTCGAATGAAATTAATTGGGGAAGCTAAATCACTATTCACAAGTCACGTTTATAGCTAGCGCGATAATCTCTAACTGTTAAGTAATACTATATAGGATTCTCATAGCGCAGCGATTGACATTTATAAGTAAGATCGTCAGTGGCAGTCAATGCGATATTCTTCTGTTTGTTTTCCATGGTCAAATAAGAGGTTGAGAGCAAAGCCTTTCTCTGGTTCTTCCAAATGATTATACAAATCATATCGTCATTTTAGTGATGACACGCATGACACGCATGATTGCGTAATCCGGTTTTAATTGTAGTGATAAATGTAGAAATCTATTTATTCTAGAATAAATACGCAAAGACCTGTAAATCCATCCAGAAATATTTTCGGCTGGTATTTTTTTCCCATTTCGCATATATTATACATAAAATTTTTAAATTAAATTTTATTATTATCATATGTAGATATTTGTGTATATTGTACTAATCTGATAATTAGTCAGACTGTAAAATTGTATTGACTCATACGTGAAATGGTCTCACATGTAAGATGAGGCTTCATGTTTTAAATGGTTTTCCTAAGGAAAAATTATGGCTTGCATATTAGACGATGTCTCATATAATAAATGAACAATTTCAGATAGCATTAAAAGAGAGATAAATGAAATGGTTGAAATACATCTTCAAAGGGGAAACCAAATAAGTATGCTTCCTTTTAATGTGTTTTTTAATTTTAAGCTGAGCGTATACGTTTATATGCATATTCAATAAGTATAGTAAAGTTTGCAAGAGTTAAAAAGAAAGCTTTCAGAGAAGACTTTTTAAATAAAATGACTCTACGTGGAGAAAAGTATGAAAATCTCAAGTCTGGATGATCTCCAAAAGGTTATTGTAAGGGAAAATCCTCTATCTTATACAAGGGCCAATATTATACTAAAAATTCGGGAAGAGAAGCGGGACTAAAAAAGCTAAAAGTTCTTATAATATAAAAGAAAATATAGTCCTTATAATTTTAAAATTAGCTTTTTGCACCTTGTGATCTTTTTCAGCATAGGCCATCTAGCTTAGAGATATTTTTGTCCATAACTTTTATCGCGGATGAAGGCATTATTCTTTCCAAAGTGTTTCTTACTTTTAGTAAAGAGATAACATTCACCATAATGTTTGACTTATTGCCAAAGGAATTCAGTGATTAAACATTAACATTTTCTTTTTGGATTCTATTCCAGTCACACAGTGAGCTCGTTTCGCGCGTCATCGTAACAGCTAGAGGTATTTAATGTCTGTGTTTCCGTAGAGGAGCATGTGGAGTAGAAATAACTAGAGTACTGTTTCAAGGATGAGTGCATTATTACTTCTCAGTTCAAGAATCAAACGCTTTTTTCCCTTCCCTTTTAATCAAATGATATTTTTCGCTGTTCCATCATTTGGGTAAAAAAGCAATTTGTAAAAAATTGCAAAATATTTATAATCCGAATTAGTGAAGAAAAACGTAAATGCATATGATAAAAATTTAATTAAATTAGCTAACAGTGTTAAAATAATTCACTTGAAAGCGCCATAAGGATTATTTATTATCATTTGTATGGACAGAATCTGTAGTTATATATAGGTTTGTAGAGTTCCTAACTTTGGAATTCTAAGTTAATGCTGGAAGTGAAGAATCTAAGAACTGATAAGCGAATAATTGCTTGAGTTCGGTGACAAGAAACAACAAGATAGAAGGGTAACTAGCCCTTTATAATTCCAATAAAATTTAACAAAACTCCGCCTGGGAGTGTACAAGCAAAGCCCGCACTTGGACTTGAACTTAAAAGACTAAGAATTAAACTAAAACTAAGATTAACTAAAGAAGTATAGCCGAAGCTATCAAGGTTAAAATCGAGTTGGCCCCTTAACTTATTTGACTACGAAGCTTAGCAAGGGCCTGAGTACGGCCGAGCGTAATAACAGCTTTGAGAGAGAGTGCAGCCAAAAAGGCAGACGCGCGTAAATCAGATACTCTGATTCTCTCTGACTTAGTAAGTAACTTCGTGGTTTAAATACCACTCCTCCTCATTAAATATTCAGCAAGATTCCAAATCTACGTTCTGGCCGGAAGTAGTAAGTTGAAGTTAAGAATTTGACAGGAAAGGAACTTTAACTTAAAATTTAACTGTTAATAAAATTAACATAATCCTTACATAGCTTCCGATCAGACTTTAAATACTCGAAAAATAAAGTCTCAAAACGACCTTGTTTAAGACTTTAAAGTCTGAAAAACTTAGCTGTATCATATTCCTCTTTCCCTGTGATGAGCCATGCGAGAAAGCATTCTTTCTAATGGATTAAGTCTTCCTTCCCATAGAACTTTTGGTCTCAAACTTTCATGACTTAACAGAATTCAATCCTGGCCATAAGAAAGCTGGTTTCTCTAATTACCTTATCTGCTGTGATCGCGTGGCAGTAATATAATTATTCGATCATTACTATTATTTAATAAATTTCTCAAATTATTATTACTTAATAAACTTTAAAACTCCTGTCCTCTAAATAAGTAAAGACACCGTTAAAATTATTAGCTGCATAATTAGGTAATACAAAAATAAATTATTTTGGCTGAAAGTCTTCGGAACAAGTAATAAAGTGTGTAACCTCGAGAGAATAATGAAACTCTGCTGATCCTGAGCAGAAAGTGAAATAGCATGTAAGCATTGCTGTGGTTAACAGAATTTTACAGGTCAGTAAATCTTGCTTAAGCCTGGAAGATAAACAGAAAGTGGAGATAAAAGCTACCATATATGTCGATGATTAAGAAAGAAACAGAAATAATAATCGATATCGAGGATTAGTTACCAGAAATGGTTGCTGTAGGTATTTTTTACTGACAACATAAAACGCCATAGAACATGAGACTAGATATTGGGAAATTATTAGCAATCCGTCGAAGACGATAAGTTATCTTACACAGTTTAATGATATTCTTTATGCTTGCAATTATTTAGGTAGTGGATTAAATAATTATTTAATTATCATATATCTTTTAACTAAAAAATATCGGAAAATCCGTGATTCGAACCTAGGCAATAATACATAAATCCTAATAGTGTCTAAAGAGTCTGTTTTTGCAGATGAATTTTGGCTGATGAAGGTTTAAAAGTTTTTAAATATATATATATATATATGTGTGTGTGTATGTGTGTGTGTGTGTGTGTACATGTGTATGTAAAATAAAAATATGTAAATCAAAATTATGATTTAAACTAACGGTAACCATTTAATTCTCCCTCTCTGTTTTAAAAACTGTAATAACTTTTCTGGATTGCGTCGTTTCTAGATCATTCCATCTTTCATGGCCTGCGCAACGCTGGTGAACTAACTCTTGGGAACTGAAACTTTTCTCTTAACAGCCTGCCATATTGGATAAATGCGCCACTTTCAGCTTCAATTTCTGTGCTGCTTTGTTGCTGTTTCGTTGTGCTCGCTTCCTGTCACAGTAACATTAAAAATTTAAATGTTATTGAATAGGCACGATTGG